TTGGGGTGCTGCCGAACAGGTGGAGACAGCAGCCAGGTTCAAGAGCAGCTGACGGGCGTTTGTCAGATCCAAGCAACTATTAACGGAGCAGTTGCCGCCATTCGGCAGGATGGCGGGGTTGTGACTTGGGGCAACCCAAAGAATGGTGGGGACTGCAGCCATGTTCAGGAGCAGCTGGCGCATCTAAGGTAGTGCTGAATTGTTTGCACTTTTCTGGACTGCAGGGGAAGCAGCCACGTCCAAATCTGTTGATTCAAAAGCATGTACAGCTTGCGGTCCACGTCGAAGAGGCACGGGGCTCGCCAATGTGAGAGGAATGTAGACACTCAACAGACGAGCTGACCCCAAGTTGGCCATGGCGTGCCTGAAGGCCATTCCTCGCAAGAGCCATTTCTGGTGCCGCCCAGACTCTACTCGCCTGGAAAAACATGTGTGTGTGTGAATCAGTCTTGAGTCATCAGCTGCCAGAGATGACTAGCTTTCTTTGGCTGGGAACCGCACGCGAACAGCGCTCGCGCGGCCCTAAAGCAGTTTGCCGCGCGCGACTGATTTGTTACCCCACCCCACGCAACCCCAACCCCAAGCCCACCCGCACCCGCACAGGGACCACACTCCACCCCACCCCACCCCACCCCACTGTCAACCAATGAGAGCAGAGTGTAGAGACTCCAATTTATGGAGCGTTGTCGTTTGATCGTCGTTGGTAAGGTGCATGAAGGTAAGTGCGCGCTGAGCCGAAGGAACACGGCTGGCGCGGCAGGACCAGTTTCAGGTTTCCGCGCCCCGCGTACGTGTTGGCCATGTAGGCTACATGAGTTTTGGGTTGTGGATCTGGGCTTCCTCCAATTTTCTTCACTGGTTTTGGCAGGTGTTTTCGTTGCTCGCCTTGTTGTTTCCTTGCATTTTTCCCCAGGCTCAGAATTCATGTTGCATGTTGCGGGTGAGGAAAGCGCAGAAGAGACCAAGACTTTCAGAAAGCAAGCCGAGCGCTTCTTAAGAACCCTGTCAAAGAAGGCTCTGAGCTTCCGGTTTGTTTGGCACTGGCAAGCTGTACGGGCTTCGTCCATGCCAGCTCGGTAGCGCCCGAAACCACTTCCCATTGCCAGGCACAGATTGCATCAAGTCAGGCGTAGCACCTGAAGACCCCTGAGTTTGCCAGGCGCTTTTGCCAAAGCAGCAGCAGCACGGGTTCCACAATCCACGAAGCCACGCTCGCTGGCGCCATGTTGAGCGTGGAGGTGTGCCTTGCAAGCGGCAGCAGTTGCTCTGTGACGCTTCCTTTGACAGCGACGGTCGCAGAGCTGAAGGCTGCAGCGCAGCAGCAGTTGGGGCGCGGCTGCCTGCGGCTAGTTCCGCATGGGCAGCCACTGGACTCTGGGTGTACCTTGAGTGAGGCGGGCGTGAGAGACGGGGATGCAATCAGTGCGGTTGTGCAGCAGGCCCAAATCAGTGCTGTTGATGGTGCCTTTGCCCTGTATATCCCGGGAGGCCGTGCAGTGACATGGGGCCGTGCGGACTATGGTGGTGACAGCAGCCAGGTTCTAGAGGAGCTGACGTGCATTGAACACATCCAAGCAGCAAGTGCAGGTGCTTTTGCTGCGATTCGGCATGATGGCGCGGTGGTGGCTTGGGGCTCTTCAGAAAAGGGCGGCGACAGTAGCAAAGTGCAAGACCAGCTGACAGGTGTTTGTAAGATCCAAGCGACCGAAGACGCTTTTGCTGCAATCAAGGATGACGGCTCAGTTGTGACTTGGGGCGATGCGAGATATGGGGGGGACAGCAGCCAAGTTTTTGAGCAGTTGGTGCGCGTCAAGGAAATCCAGGCAACCGATGGCGCTTTTGCGGCCATCAAGGAGAACGGCACGGTTGTGGCTTGGGGAGATGCAGAGTATGGTGGAGACAGCGGCCAGATGCAAGAGCAGCTGACACATGTCCGCCAGATCCAAGCAACTGCGTGTGGAGCGTTTGCCGCCATCCGCCATGACGGCAGTGTTGTGACTTGGGGCAACCCAAACAATGGTGGGGACAGCAACCATGTGCAGGAGCAGCTGACATGCGTCCAGCAGATCCAAGCAACTCAAAAGGCGTTTGCAGCCATCAAGGATGATGGCACAGTTGTGGCTTGGGGCGAGGCAGAGTGTGGCGGAGACAGCAGCCAGGTTGCTGAGCAGCTGACACGTGTCCGGCAAATTCAAGCAACGTTAGATGCGTTTGCTGCAATCAAAGATGATGGCACTGTTGTTGCTTGGGGCGATGCGCGATATGGAGGAGACAGCAGCCAGGTTGCTGAGCAGCTGCTATGTGTCAGGGAAATCCAAGCAAATAGTTGCGTTTTTGCTGCCATAGAGGATGATGGCACAGTGGTGGTGTGGGGCGACGCAGAATCTGGCGGAGACAGCAGTCGGGTGCGAGAGCAGCTGTCATGTGTCAAGGAAATCCAAGCGGCTTGGCGTGCCTTTGCTGCTGTCAAGGAGGATGGCACAGTTGTGTCTTGGGGTGATGCAGAATATGGTGGAGACAGCAGCCAAGTGCAACAGCAGCTGACCGGTGTAAGCCGCATCCAAGCAACTGCCTTTGGAGCTTTTGCAGCCATTCAGCATGATGGCGGAGTTGTGACCTGGGGCGACCCAAAGTATGGTGGGGACAGCAGCCAAGTTCAGGAGCAGCTGACCCACCCAAGCAATTGATCAGCGTCATGAACTGGAGGACGAGGTAGTTTGGCCCTAAAGGCACAAACGCGCACTCGTGACCAAATGAGCTAGTTGTGTTTGCGCGAGACAGCCTTCCAGGAGAGGAATGAGTCTCGTAGGTAAACCTATGCGAGGAGAGTTGTGGCAAGGTTTTGTAAGGTTGCATTGATGAGCCTTTAACAATGACCAAACCTCAAGTCAGGTTGGCCCCAATCAGTGGTTCCCTGAGTAAATGGGAAACCACTGCTAACCTCCAAACCAGCGATCCGAACCGTTTGGAGCATTGAGAAAACTTTGGGTTGCGATCTACGGCAACATCTCGCAAGGGTCTTGCATTCGGTTTGCTCCTGTGTGGGGGGGGCTGTTCTGAGATGCCCTGCCAGAGTGTGACATTTAGTGGGTTGAATGGAGACCCCCACTAAACCCCAAAAAACATACGGAAACCTAAGGGGATGGCTGGGAACCACTTCGAGATTCATGTTTCACTCGGCTGCGTTTTCACTTCACCCCGTTGCAAAGTACCGAGAATTCGAGTAATAGGCTCACTTGGGGATAAATTGAGCTCACCGCGAGTTCCGAGTTCCGAGTTCAAAGGGTCTATAGCATCATTTTTTGCGGCTTCGCGATGGGCGTGTGAGAAAGAGGCTCAAAAAAGCCTTAGGGTTTTTGAGAGATGTTGCATTTTGAGGGGTTCTTAGAATTGCTGGGGGTGGTTAGTAGATGTTAGTAGGCTTGCAAAGTTGCTTGGGGTGGGAACTACAGAGTAATTTCGGGGGGGGGGCCTTCAAAAAAAGGAAGCTGTTCGGGGGGCAAAAGAGGTCTGGGCGTGATTTCTATCAAAAGGAGCCAGCTCAAAAATGGTTTGGACATGAATCCCCACCGAATTCGGATGTCCTCCATTCCGGGTCATTCATATCAGTCCGCATTCAAGTGGCGCACGGCTTGGCGGTTTGCCAACGGCTTTGGTTGCGAAAAGAAGCCAAGAGAGTTGCTCCAACCAACATTCGTCTTGCTGGTGCGATAGGTGGGGAAGGAGAAATGGAATGACCCCGAGACAAACCATCCCTGGTTCGTTCCCACATTCCCTACTGCGCAGCAGCAAAGTAGTTTTGAAGGACCCCCACAATTCTAGACTTATTTAAGGTTTTGGTTGAAGAAGCGGGCAGGCTACTAAAACGGAGCCCTGAAACAAGAGCTCCACGTTTTTCGACCGGTTTTTCAACGAGTTTCCCAAGTGGTCGCAAGGGGCCAGCCCAGCGAGTTTCTTTCCCGTCATCCAGGTGGGGCATAGGATGAACTACGAGGAGCTGAAGAAATCTCTATGCGACTCGCTGTGGGCGGGTGGAAGCCGTCAAACCCGAGGGAACTCACCAACCTCTTGTTTGAGGGGTACAGCCTATGGTAGGTTGTGGTGGGTTGCAATAGCCAATCTTTAGGGGGTATTTTCGATTTGACTGTCTTGCCCTGCCCTTTGTTTTTGTTCGGGGAAACTGAAAGGAAAACCACATTTTGGTGGTGCCCCGGTTTTGACATGTGCCCAAATTGATTGTTGCGTAAAGCAGACCAAGGGAACACCCTTCAAATGGTGACAAAGTCGTGCAGGCCCACTTGAAGGGTCATTTCCCATGAGCAAATTAGGATGGAACCCAAAAAGGTCCGAAGGGATCTTGTGAAATTCCTATCAACGCTAGTTCTTCGGCTTGCATGTTGCACATGTCCAGGCCTCGCCTCGAGGCCAGCATCCACGTACTTGGATGTAACTTCTCAGCAAGCAGGTCGAACCGTGTTTATAAGCTAACTAACCTCAGTTACAAACCAGTTCTAACCTTGATTTTACCCTATGACGCAGGCAAAGGAACATCCAAGGACACATCCCTAGCTTTCTTTTGCTTCAGTCCGGAAGAACATATTCAATGTCCAGTTCTAGATTCCAACTTCAAAACCAAAGGGAAATCGTATTCTAAGAAAAATCAACTTTCTGGTGCTCAGTAAGGATTGTAACAATGAACCGTTTCGGGGTCCCTTAAAGGAAGAGAGCGGGCCGCCATGGGGCCTGTGTTTTTCCAGTGTAGTGCCTTTTGGGGCCTGTGTTTTTCCAGTGTAGTGCCTTTAGTGGTGCAAGCAGGATTTGTATTTATGTTGTGTTTTTCTTTGTTCGACCAAGGAGCCAGAACACACGGGCATGTCTTTGTGCAAGGCAGCTTTTTTTTGTAGACTTGTTTGCTGGACTGTTGCCAAATCAAATGCTATGTCACCCTAATTAGTGACAGAAAGAGATTGAAGATGCCCTAGGCTGAATCAAAACTGCTCTCACTTGGCGGACGGTTTCTTGTAGACGGAGGAGCACTGATAGGGCTTGGCCACACGCTTGCGCTTCTGCTGGCCGTGCTGGTTGATGTACGTGGCCTTCTTGTTGCGGATCGCTTGGTTATGCATCTTGCAGTAGTAGAGCACCTTGAAGGCGTGCCGGAGAGGAGAGGATTCGTTCAGCACACGTGCGTAGTTCCGAAACCACGCGAACACTTGCTCTGCCGCAGACGTGTTCACGTGCTTCAACCGCTTGGCCAACCGCGGCACATGCAGAGGGTTGCACTTGCATGTCTTCTTGTGCCCAGTGGCATGGAAGCAGTCGATGGTCCAATACTTCACCTGCTTGAATTCTTTCACCTCCAGGGCTTGCGGCATGAAGGCGCAGTTCCGATCCAGCACGAAGCAGTTAACCTTCTTGTACATGGGCAAGATCTTCAACAGTGAGTCCTTCACAACTTCGTTGTTCTCTGGCTTGCTCATGCAGGAAACCGAAAGCACTTGCAAGTTCTTGGGGTCGACGATCATGAACCACCCGTGCCCGTACGGCTTGCCCTTTCCATTCTTGCGGGGCTTGCCTGGGTGCGGCGCAACCTCAGAGCACTTCACATGGACTTTGGCATGTCCATCGCCAACTAGCTCTGTGACAGAAGCTTTGTTTCGAGGGGGGAAGACTTTGGAGTGCAGGTGCTTGTCATACGCAGCCAAAGAGATCTCGGAGAGTCGTTGCCGATCTCAATGGGTTGGTTGATGCCAGTACATAATTGCATCTGCGTGAGCCTTCCGGAAGCGAGTGAAGTCCGTATCATCCACGGTGCCGTAGACATTCTCGTGCACATCCTGGATGGCTCTGGATGAAACAAATGCACGGAACTCAAGCTGGGTGTGGTACTGCAAGTACTCCAAGCTGAAGCCACGCTTCACGTTCACGAACAAGACCTTCTGAATGTCCTGCGGGTTGGCGGTGTTCAGTTTGCATCCATCGACATTGACAAAATTGGGGCCGTAGGTCTTCCTGCAACCCCAAGCTGTGCAGCGCATAGTCCGGACGATTGCATCATATGGACCACTCATGGAATAGACGACCGCCTCGATGTCATGAGCTTTGGACAAAGCCTTGTGTCCACACGAGCAACTCTTCATGTGTGTGCTGTACACAGGCTTGGAGAGCGCGCCACCGGGAATATGAAAAGCAGGGCATAGGCTTGAGGCACCAGCGCACATGAAGGTCAGCTTGAAAACATGGTACATCGGACTCTTCATGAACTCCGCAAAGACATCCGCCGAGATGTACGCATGCGTGCCATCGTCGACTTTCTGCACCTTCCCGTTCGCGTTGATGACAGCGAAGAAATGGATTCTTGTTGTGTCCAGCACGATAAACTTGCCTGGCTGCAGCTTGCTGTTTGTAGACACTAACTTCAAAGTGGCACCTAAGGGGGCCAACATCTCACATCCATCAGCCGCAGTGAACGGGCCATTCTTGTCGTAAGAAATGGGGCACCCAAGGCTGCGAAGAGAATTGCAAAGGCACACCTCCGAGTAGGTCTCGTTCGAAGCACCGCAGCCAGCAGGATGAAGCCAGGCCTCATCCATCTCCTCAGCTGCTTGGTCCATCTCTATGGATTCTTGGCTGCACAACAAGGAGCTTGCTGCTCTGGTTGCTTCCTTTGGCTGAGCGTGGTCTGGGGCAACAGGTGAAGGTGACACGACTTTCTGCGGGGAAGAGTCCAAGTCGATCACGCTGCCAGAAGACTGCATATTCAAGCTCCATGTCTTAGCTTTCTTGAAGACCCCCTCCTGCTCCATCTCAAACTTCTCCTTCTTGACCGACACTGCAGACTTCTCAAGGGCACGCTTCTGCTTGTCTTGCATTTGCTGAGTCACCGAAGGAACCGCCGCTGGCCTCTCTCCGAAAGCTTGCTCCCGAATCCGATTGCGCTTGGCATCTTCCTCTTCATCCTCCTTGCTGCGACTCCTCTCTGCGAAGCGCTTGTGCATGACCGCCTCCACCCACAGCTGCTCCTTCTTCACCTCCTCGACGAAGTCATCTGTGATCTCCTTGGTTCATCTCCCACACACGCGGCACTGCCTCGGTGTTGATGCCCGCCTTCCTGTAGTAGACGTGAGTCTTCGTATTGAGCAAGATGCAAGTTCTCTTGAAGACAGCATCCATGTGGGCGAGAGTGGCACTTTCCACAATGCTGGGGCGCATGAGCTTGAAGAAAGTCTCGAAGCTGACGGTGTTGGCATACGCAGGCTCCTCGGAAACACCATCATCATACGTGTTATCTGCGACGGCACGAGGTTCGTTTTGAACCCATTTTGTCGCACCCCATCGAGCCCAACACATGCTCTCATAGAATGCCTTGAGCAACTTCATCGGGAGCATGTGCAAGGATGTGTCATCCAGGAAATCGCCCATGAGCACGGACCCCTGTTCGCCACGAAGAAAGTCGATCTCCGGCGTAGAGCGGATACAAGGCTGACCCGACAAGTTGAAGCGCGCCTTGTTGCGGCGCACCTGTGCCATCAGGACGCTCCTACCCAACGGGCTCTTTCCCGCGCCCGCCTCCCCCAGCATGGTGAAGGCTGAGAGATCCAAGTCCCATATCTCCTCCATGATCTCCAAGAGCCAGGAATGGTAATACTTGGTCGTCAAGGGGATGGGCCAATCGAACTCCTTGCGGGCCAAAGCGCCATCCGAAGCCAAGTTCCGAAGAGCGCGGTCAACCAAGGCCTGAGGCCATCCATGGATGGGAGAAGCTTTCCGGCGCAACTCCTTTGTCATCCATCGCAGCTGCTGCATTTCAGATGAGCTCCTGGGGCCATGTGCCAAAATGAAATCGAACCCCGCATCCACTTCCTCATCTGTCTTGTCCTCGAATGAGGAAACAGTCTTGGACTTCACGATGGCGTTGCTCGACAGCTCCGCACACTTGAACTGCCGACCACCCATGGTCTCAACGCAGTACTGCACGATCTTTCTGCCGAGCTTGGGCTCCTGCATCCAGATGGCGCGCTTGGCAACTCCGAAGCCGAGCTTCATGAAGAGAGGGGCCTTGCATTTCTGGGGGAAGATGAAGTGCTTCCAAATGGTATAAGATCCATCCAATGCTTTCAGGATGACCATCTGGAGTTTTACATCCTTGCCCACTTTCTTCTGCAAGCCGAAGGGTGCAGAAATAAGGTCCAGATCTTCATTTTCAATGGCTCGCTTGTACTCGCGCTCCAACACGGTAAAGTCAATCTCCTTGCGGTAGTTGAAGATGACATCGAAGAGGTGCACGCTCGCGTTGTCTGTGTGGAGCAAGTCCGCACAGGGGAAGTTGACCGGGTTGAAAGAGCCAGGCGGTTGCTCTGGCAAGGTAATAGGGCTGGTGGAGTTCCTGCAAACCATGCCATCGAGCACCTCCCTGAGATGGTCCACGGTCATATCCTCCGCCTCGAGAGCCATGACTACTTGAAAGAAGAGGGAATGAGCTGAGACTTACTTGAGCAGGCTACCAGAAGAGGGAAAAGTAGATGCAGATCCAGACGCAGCATGGAGCAAGAAGTGCAACAGAGGAAAACACTCCGGGAAACCCAAAAAAACCAAAAAAACAAAAAAAAACAATAAACCAAAAAACCAATCCTGAGAGGGAAATGACAGGAGGTGGCTTGCCTGAGCTTTTGTCTGCCAGATTGTTTTTTGTTTTTTTGGTTTTTTTCGTTTTTTTGGGTTTCCTCGAAGAAAGCCCCAAACAACAGTCATGAGGGGGAAATAAAAGGAGGTGACTTACCTGAGCTTGTCTGTTTTTTTCGGTTTTCCACGATTTGTTTTGTTGTTTTTTTGTGTTTTTTCTGTTTTTTATGATTTTACTGTACTTCAAAAACGCAGGCCCCATGGCGGCCCCTTCTGTAAAGGAAACCACCAGTTGGATAGATTATAAACGTCATTCCATTTCTCATTCCCTGCATCTCTCGCACCAGCAAAACAATCTTCAGCAAAAAGCAAACCGATCAAAATATGCCACCTGAAGGATTCCAACTACAAAACTGAACAATAACCATCATCCTCCAAGGGTGGTCCATTTGTCCCAGCAGTGCTCTTGTGTGAGCCATTTGGGGTATGGAAAAGCCACCCTGGGAGGGTGCTACAAGCAAAATTTCCAAGGGATTCCAACTGCAAACTTCAAGCAACTTTCATTCATTCATTCATTCATTCATTCCACCGCTCTCAATGTTGAGTTGCGTAGCAAACAAAGCGTGATATTCAGACCGGGCTCAACACTTTAAAGGTTGCAACTAAGCCCCCTCAGACTAACTTGGAAGCTCCCACTACTTTGGAAGACTTGGTTCCATTAACGGTGGCGAATTGAGGGAGCTTCCGGCTGTTAGTCTGAGGGAGTTATATATATATAGCATAAATAATAGTAACATATGTCACATACATATTTATATGTTTGATAAATAATGATTGTTTTTAGCACCGCCGCCTTCAGCCGAACGGAAGCAACGGGTCGTCCTCCTCCCGCCGACGCCGACGTCGGTCGGATCGGAAGGACATCCACGCCTGCCGTTGGGCCCGGCGCTTCGAGGAGCAGGCGAGTGGGCGAGCGCCGCAGGCTGTGGCTCTGGTCTTCCATTTGCTGAAATGAATATTTGTTTCACTTTCCCCTGTGGGTGTTAAAGGGAATCTGTGACTACTGGAAATATGTTTATTTTTTCCAGGGGGCTTAAAGCAAATGGAAGTTGTGGTTTTTTTTGTGGTTTTAAAGGCAACCCCGCGTCTTTTTTGCGAGACAAGCCGGGTGTTTGGTTGGTTTTAGAGGCAAACCAAAAGGAGAGGACCACGAGTTGTTGGGTGCCCAAGGAAAACCGCCCCCCCCAAAAAAAACAAAAACAAGCACAAAAACGACAAACCCAAAAACACGACCCTCACAATGGGTGTCTGGGTTTTTGGTAAGTGCATGGTGTGGGCAACCAAGAGGATCACTTTGGTGGTTCCCCTAGTTTGACACACACACACACATCCACGTCCACACGCTCACGCAGACGCACACGCACACGCATGCCCGCATGGACTTTCAGGATGGGTGTCCTTTCCAGTTGAAATGTATATTCATGTATTGTAGATATTGCACACATGTATCTCATGGATACCCAAGGAGAGTATGGATGTCCGCCTCGTACAGCAAGACTTTCTGCAGCTTGACCATTTTGTTGTTTTTCCAGTAAAAGCGACAAAGGAGAACAAGTAAAGCTTCCGGCCCGTGAAAAGTAAATTGTAAAGCTGCCAAAGGAGAATCTGTTTTTTTAGGCAGTTTTGCCGATTTACTTTGCCATAGTGATGGCAAACAAGTTAAACATGCCAATATTAAAACAGTAAACCAGCCAGAAGTGAAATTGGTTTTTACTTTTGCAGGTGTCGTTGTTGGCATCGTGTCACTTTTCTGGCACTGCGAGTTCGAATCAGCAATGCAAATCCAGCACTAAACCAATATTGAACTGATGCTATGAGTAGTCAGAAGCAAGCGACTCCTGAAATATTACTCAGCTGTTACTAGACTAAGAATCCCATACAAAACCGATTCCAAACCAGAAGCAGCCAAACCAAACGCTCAAACTGCTGATCGGAACTCCTGAGTGAGACTGCTTGACCAATACTAGTACTATCATCCTAAAAGTACTACACGACAAAGTTCACAAGAAAAACCGGACCGCAGTTGAGGCTATGTGATATGCCTAAGTTGCATTGGCCAAGACTTTACTAGCTGCAGCAACTTTGGGCAGCTGTCCCCATTTGCAAATCCAACTGAAAGGAAATCCCATGTTTGGGCACAATCGGGCACACCCAAAGAACAGATACCCGTGCACACTGAACAGGGGGGTTCTGGACCATTTCCCTTGACCATTCCTCCGTCGGGTTCCATGTTGGAGCTTAGAATTTTAAAGTTCTCCTTTTCGTTTCCTTTCAAAACCTCCAAAAAACACGTAGCCCCCAAAAAGACATTTTTGCTCCGCGAGGTGGGCCCGCTGGACGTGTGCGGCTTGCTGCGTGCCCGGGACTTCCAGCGCCTTGGACGGCATGCGGTTTCTCGGTGGCTTAAGGATTTGCCTCTGGGTCTGAAGTAACCAGGGGTCAGGGCCCAATGATGGTTGGGGTTGGGGGAACCGATGGTTCTTGGGAAGTCCCCTTCCAAAGTTTTACTCCCTTCCTTCTCTCCTGGTGGGTTTCTGCCTCCTGGCTGGGAACTGGGGCTGAACATTTTGACCCTGACCATGATTGTCCATTGGATTTTGATCAGGCGCAAAAATGGCGGCCATGAGACTTCGGTGGGGACCAAAACGTCCACCTGTCATTATTGGGCCCTCCATTGAAGGGGTCGAACCGGGTTTCCATTGGAAGGTTTCGGACCTCAAAAAAGGCAATTTTGAGGTCCCAAGATGCTCAGGGACCCGAAAAATGGTGGACATCAGAAGTCGGGGACGTTTAAACGTTTACCAACGACTTGGGGGGGGGTCTAACTTTCCGACTCTTAAAATTCATAGCCAGGCCCAGTGCTTCCAGTTGCCACCATAGGTGACCAGGAAAAGGAAGTTATGTTAAAAACCATAGAGGTCAGGATTCCGATTGCTTACCCAGTATAGTGGCTTACTGGGCGTTTTCTTCCCCATCGTGGCTCTTTGCTGATGGAAGTCAATAGATTCTCAGCTTGAGGCTTGGCTTCAAGTTTGACAGCCCTTGGAAAGCCATGGGGCTGTTTACCGGTGAAATTGGCTGAAGATTCATTTGGCACATGTTTTCTTTCGCTAGCGTTCAGAAATCGTCCGCTCATGCGCCGGGAGCAAGCTCAACCAAGAGGTCGCGCTGCATAGTTAGCGCGCAACATCAACTCATAAAAATCCACCAAGATGGGAAAAGCTTCCAAAGCAAATCAAGCAACAGCAGAAAAGACGCCCTTGTTTCCCTATGGCCACCGCACTTCTGAGGGCAGGATACTTCTGGATAAGATCGGGGATGCGTTAGTTGGGTGTGTCTTTTTTTTTTTGGGGGGGGGTCCCCCAATTCATGAATGAATGAATGAATGAATTGGGGGACCCCCCCAAATGGGTGGTTTTCCTTTTAGTTGTCCTCTAACCAACAAAGGTACCTTCAAAAAATACACACCCATTTCAACTTGGTGATTCCCTAACTCATAAAACTCTCCAAGAGTTGCCAACCACCAGAGACCTGAGCCACGGCGAATCGGAAGCGAATCTCCCAATTTTCAGCCAGGGATTTCGCTGGGTGTGGCAATCAAAATTAACCACCTGGATCGCCAGTTGCTGCTTTTATCCATGCACTTTACCCCAAAAACAGCAACAGTGACTGAAAAACACCAGCAACTTGGCTATCCAGGCAGGAGGGGCAAACCGCAGGTTTTGGTCCATGTTTCCACTTGCCGATCGGGTTCCATTTTGGAATTCCGGTTTTTTGGTTGCCACAGCCAACTCAGTCCTGAGTCTGTCCCTACATGGTGTCGTTCAGAAGCCCAGTGGTCACGTGGAAACAAACACTTTTTTTTTGGTTAGGGTTGATCAAGGGAGACGTCGCTTTGGAGCGGGCTACCAGCCCCCTGTACGTACATGACACTGGTTGGTAACTGTGGTTTTGGCGCACACGACCTGCCAAATTGCAAGAAAGCCAACCACAGGCTCGACACCATGGTACATCAGGGAAGTTTCATGGCGTCGGGTCCCCATGTGGCGAATCTCGGTGCCCCAAAAAGAAGCAAGTAGGGAACAAGGAACAAGGGAAACATGGGTGCAGTTTGTTACTCGCAACTTAGGTTTGTGTCTTTTTGGTTGTCGCTAGTAGTTCACTGTTCACTAGTAGTTGTTTGTGGTTTGTTTACTTGCAATATTTAGAGCATCCACCGTATTACGCTGGCCCCTTCGGATTTCAAGACTTTTCCATGTTGGTTGCTACGAAATGGGCTTGCAAGGGACGCCAGAAATCTATTCAAGGGCACACCCGTGTAGACATCGTGCTTTCATCAGGCTCAGCATGGGCAACTCGTATTTTGTATGGGTGCCTTTTCCCCCAAAGGGCGCGGGGGGGTCAAATAACACCTTAGGGCCTTTGTGTGGGTTTCCTGGGGAGGTGCTTCAGAGGCGAAAATGGGGGAGCCCTGTCTTCACAAAACGAGGTGCCATTTTTGTTTAACTCGCAAATATCGATTCCGGACTTGGACCAAGCGGGGGCCGTGAGAGCAACAGGAGGTTCGCAAAAGTAAACTACCGCAATGGGAAAGTTTCCCTTGCTCCCTACTTGCAATATTTAGGGCATCCACTATACTGGTTAATGACCCATAGAAAAAAACTCTTGGAATCGCGAGGGCAGAAAGGGATATGTTTTCCTGGTGGCGATCACCTACAGACAGGGTTCCGGGAAATCCAGTGACCCCGGACAGACCCAGTTTATGACCGCGA